TAGATATGTCGTAATCCCCACAGACGGCGCTAGATGTTTGAGCCCGAAATTGATTGAGCTCGGATCGGTTTAGATCGGTGTGCTTTGGGCGAGCTATAGCCAGCAGTCGCGTACCTCCCTGGAACAGTTCTTGAGACCTGCAAAACAAAGTTAGCACTCCGACGAGCAAGTTAGTTCTAGTCCGAGCTAACTTGCCGAGTCTACTTAGGATTGCGTACCTTGCATTTAAGGCAAGAGTTTCTATTTATAGAAACTGGGCCCGATAGGGATTCTGACACACCCTAAAATCACGGCGTGCTGTCGGGCACGGAAGGGACACTGTTACGGACTCTGTATCAGCTCGGCTCGGCACTACGAGTCCTACCCTCACTGCCGACCTGAGTATTTTGGAGCCGCTTTCTTCACTTCACCCGCGTGTTTAATCAACCCACCTTTTCGACCGCGACACGTGGCAGGCCAGGATTCGCCTTCAACAGTCAGAATAAGTTTTTAACTTCACTTTAATTAATTAATTAAGTAAACACGTTTCTTTCCTAATAATTAGATAAAAAAGTCTCTTAAATATCTAAATCTCTCGAATAAATACTAAAAATTCCTATTACACATATAAATAAATATTAAAATGTAATAACAAAATATCTTTTGAGGCTTCTCTTTCCCATACAACAGAGAAAGACACTCATGTTAGTAATACCCTACCAATTTTTTCCAAATGTCCTTGTATGATATAATTTTCCATAGATCTCTTTAAAAGAAAAAAAAAGAGAAAAGAATCAAATAGGTCATGTATTCTTAATTTTCTTATATGTATGATTTTAAGTTTTTTTTAGGTATATGTCAATTACATCCATGCCTACTTTGGATCTTTTTTCTTTCTCTTGGAGAAGAAGACTTTTTTTTGCTGTATCTGTATTGAAGAGGTGCAACAAAGTGTTCAAATCATTATGTCTCAAAGAATCAGAAAATTTTTTCAATGATCGATCGGTATAAATATAAACAACTCCGAATTGGAAGCCTTGTTCGATACTTGTTAGTGTTGCAATAATGAAGCTAAAACAGATAACCCGCGTCCTATGAAGAAAATTATTTTCAATACTACTACGAATGCCTACAACGAGTAGAATATTATTGGTACACAATATAAATAAAAGAGACTTGAGTGGGTGTGGATAGTGTGTGAAAAGGAGTCTGTATCCCGCGAGATTAGTGAGGGTATTTTCAATTGTGTAATTTTAAGTAGCAATTGTTAGGGTACTTAGAAGCAAGATAGTCATTGAATATCTTGAGTGAGATCTCCATTGTAATTTTCAAAACTATAGTAGAACCTGCTCTTTTGTAGAAGACTGAACGTAGTCTCAAAATTGGGGTGAACCAATATTATCCCTATGGTGTTAAGCTTTTCTATCTCTATCTCTTATTCTTTTGTTATTATTACTTATATACTTTTAACCTGTGGAAGGGGAAAATCAAATAGTTCTTATCTAAAAACTTACTGGAGGATCCATTGATATATATATTTTTTCCATCAGTTAGAGTTGGGTTTGGAGCAGATGAAGCCTTCCTTCCTTCTTTCTTCTTTGGAAGAGTTATTGCACAACATTTATATCTAAGTAATGGCTTTCACTTAGGAACACTCAACGCCCTATTAATTAATTAAAGATACATAGATGATGATTTATAAATATCTTTTAATTGATCAGTTTCTAGAAGTCAATAATGGAGGAATGAGTGAGTAATTTTCATTAATTATCTCAATTATAATTATCCTTTGAATAAATAAGCGGTTCAGCTAATAAGTCGTGAATACAGTGTAACTAAAAAAGAGGTAATAGTTGACTTTACTTAAGACAACAACCAAGATAATTAAAAGTTAGGTTAATTAATTAACCTAACAATTATATTAAACCTCCAATATTTGCTGTCCTCAATAATATTATGAATTAAAAAAATAATATAATTAGTTTATATAGCTTGATTTTGTTGGGAATTTGATTCAAAACACAAATTCCCACCCAATAATTATAAATTATAAGTGACTTTAATAATATAATTTTCTAATTTATATCTAGCTTGATTTTGTGGGGAATTTGATTCAAAACACAAATTCCCATTAGGGGTCCTTTCATATGAGAGTATAAAATTTAAACAAAGAAACACATTAAAAGCAAGTATGTCAAAATAATCTAGTTTGTCCATTAAAACATTTTAGCTTTGTTAACTCATTGATACTTTTGTGATCCATGAGATATCAAGGATTTTTTATATTAAAGTTCACACAAAAATTGGAATACAAGACTTCATGGTAGGTCTGATCAATAAAGATAGGTCTTGTCAATAAAGCTGTTCCTTAGAGGCTAAAAAGCTTAGCTTGAAATCTTATTCCTTTGATCTTGCACACATTATGTACCATTAAAAAACAACTTGAACATTAAACCGATTATCTCCAATCATGTTGAGAAATTAGATGTTCCAAACAATTTTCCTTTTCACAGTTATCCAGATGAACAAAACGGATCACACAATAATACATATATATGAGAAGTTAAGGGAAAGCAAATGACACACAAAGATTTATACTGGTTCACACGTCATTAGATGCGGTTACACTAAATGAGATTGGATACAAGTACTCAAATATATCTCCCTACAAAAATTCACCCTTTAGAGGTACCAACAAAAGCCCAATAGTTTCTAAATATTTAACACAATATACTTAGGTACAACAATGAAAAACAATTACAAAATAATCAAGATCTAAATTACTCCAAAACAACGATCTCGATTTGACCCTTTCTGTGTTGCTAATACCGAGCCACTACTCTGATTTGCCACACAAATCTCCCAAATTCGGCTGCAAATTAATCCCACAGCTTCCCTTTGATTCACAGCTTGAAAAGGTTTAATCCCCCATGGCTAACCTAAAATGCAAAACAAAAAGAAGTTTAAATAATCGGTGCAGTGTTGAGACGTTGCCATTGGCGTCTCAACGTTACAGATCCTCTGGCATAAAACAAAAGACCGTGCACCTTATTATTATTATTATTATTTATTTTCGCGGCAGCGCTGCAATGCCGCTCATTCGGCCAAAATGGCTTGCAGCACCCAAAGCCTCTGTTTTTCATTCCTTCCCTGTCCCAATTTGTCCCTAGCTTGTTATAACGTCCATTTGGCTCCATCAATTCCAACAAATTAAGCCATACAATATATATATATATATATATATTTTGTTCATGTGAGGATTTCGACCTTCTGGTTCACCTTCTCGCTCACACCTAACTTGTTGATTAGGGAATTGGAACCTGCAAAACTGAATCAACCTAAACCAGTGTGACCTTAGTCACACGGGCTCCGATGCTTAAGTTAGCAAAGGGGAGTTGAGAAATGATGACTTTCGAGTTTGTTACCTGCCCCTTAGGGTTAGGCTGCATTGCTTACTTATAGACGCGGGAATGGTTCCAAAACCATACAGTGGAGCCCTAGCTTGTGGTGACAAGGCCAAAAGGAATTGTCAATCACAGGCAAGCGACCTCCGGGCTTGACCGTGGGCCGAGCCCGACTCGGTGCCGAGTAGGGGTCAAAACCGAGCCTTGCTCGGTCTGGTTCGGTTCTTTGTCAGTTGCTTCCTCAATCTCTCTTGACCTGTAGTCAACCCAATTGATGATTTCTGTGTACAATATATATATATATATATATTTTCTTTTCTGCCCTTCAATTTTTTTCCTTTTTTTTTTAATAATAATCTTTTTGCCCCTTCAAATGATACATGTCACACAAATAATTGGTGCATTTTTCCCCCTTGTGTGCAAATAATTCTATATAAGCTCAGTCCCTCTCAGCTTTCTTCCATATAATCTTTGCTTTCTCTCTCTTCTCTTGGCTCTCTCTCCCTTGCTCCCTGTGCAGAAATGGCCAAGTTATTGCCAACTGATTCATGCACTAATACAAAGTCCATTTCAGTTTCACAGTTGTCTGATTCTCTTCCTGCAAATGGAGGCAATGGAACTTACAGCTACTCCAACAACTCCTCCTATCAGGTTTTCTTTCAACTTCTCCCTTCTTAATTTTTGCAATTTTTTTTTAAATTTCTCTTTACGTGGACGAGTTATTCGCAAATTTTCTAACTTTCTCACCGCGCCCCATTATGCTATTTCGTCGCAGACGAGATCCATACCGCTCCGTAAAGTTCTTTAAATTAACAAGCTTTGTAGCACCCTAATTGAATATGTGAAGTATAATATTGTTATAAAAGAAAAATCAAGCAAGAAAGAGAAAGAAAAGAAGAAAAGAACACATTAATTTATATGGAAATTGCAACTAGAAGAGAAGAAGAATTGGTTATGATAAAAAACTTTACACTTCTAAAAGACGGTTTGAGCCTGCTTTATGGGCTAGTGAGTACATGCACGAGATTCATATAAATACATAATTTTACATCACTCAGAAATGGACAGAAAGATCTTAATAAGCACACAAGTAAAAAGAAAAATATGTAGATTTCCATCGACTTCGGATAGACCCAAAACTAAAACCCCATACAAATTTCAGATCTGGAGTGGACAATATCATACTATAACACATATATCAAAAAATCCGTTATTATTTTTAACACAATTTTAAATAAAGTGTATTAAAAACATAGGACATGGAATTGTGGTCTCATTCTCTCCTTGAAACCTTAGCCCTTAATTTTAATATTAAGATTCTGTGTTCCAACAAACCCTAAATAGCCACTCAGCTAGCTTTGCTCCCACTCTAGATACCCTATAAGCACACTTTTGCAATAAAATAAAAGCTTTTTTTTTTATACCCTTAATTTAAAGGGTTTGTTCACTTTCAGCTTTTTCTAATAAAAAATTAAAACAAAAACAAGTTGGCCAATTTGGAACCCTGATTCACGACAAGTACAATATCATGGGTTGGCTTTATTTTATAGCTTTTGTCTGTATTTTCAGTACGGATCAAAATGCAAGTGTCAATTTTTTTACTTTTCTTTTGAAAAGTATTGGATCTGCTTGGAGGGCCTGCATGGAGCAGATTTTTGTTCACCATTTTCTTTTTTCCTATCTTTGTTGCAGAGATTATTTGCTCATGTTGAAAGGGAAAAAATTGATGAAGAAATTGCAGAAAAGTTTGAGATCAAAAAGCTCTCTTCTTCTTCCTCAAACACCATTGTTCTTGCTGACTTGGGTTGCGCTACTGGATCGAACACCTTCATGACGATGCAGCACATTGTAAAGTCCATGAAACGATCTTTCCAATCGCTTTGCCCTAGCTCGGCATTGCCTGAGTTTCAAGTGTTCTTCAATGATCAGGTTGTTAATTCACTGCTAAACTCAAAAAGCTTAACGAACTTAAATAATAGGGTTCCGATAAATTATCCTTTCTTATTCATATTCTTAACACCGATACGAGGCCCAAAGAATCTCATGCTATGGTATATTATATATTAAATCATCACTCAATCTTCAAGTCCTAGCCAGTAAGGTTACGATAAATTTAACTTGATAAGATTCAGAAACCTCAATATTGTCATTTCCCGCACTTATGGACTTGGAAATAAGAATTTCATACGAGATATGTTGCTCTCATACCATATACCTCACTTATGAACGATTTGGAAATGAGAATTTCATACAAGATTGGTATCTCTCACTTATGGACGACTTGGAAATGAGAATTTAATTCTTGGAAATGAGAATTTAATATCAGATCTGTTGTTCTGATATCATATTAAATCACTGCTCACTCCAAAAACTCAAGCTATTGCGTTACGGTATATTTAATGTTTTTACTTCATGTTCTTAGGTCACCAACGACTTCAACACGTTGTTTCAATCGTTACCGATGGAGCGAGACTACTTTGCAGCAGGCGTGGCGGGGTCATTCCACCATCGGCTGTTCCCGAAGGCATCGGTGCAATTCGTGCATTCTTCATACGCCGTCCACTGGCTGTCAAGGATCCCGGAGGAGCTGCGGGATGAGAGGTCACTGGCATGGAACAAGGGGCATATCCACTACCTGGGGGCGGCGGAGGCGGTGGCAGCGGCTTACGCGGCCCAGTTTGCCAAGGATATGGGAGATTTTCTGAGGGCTAGGGCGGAGGAGTTGGTGGAAGGAGGAATAATGGTGATTATCACATCAGGAAATCCTGATGGAACTTCAGCTTCTCACTTACCATCTGGTTTGCTCTATAATTTTCTGGGCTCTACGCTCATTGATATGTCAAAAGAGGTAACAATCCATAGACTTAGATTGTGTTTCTTTTGCTTAAATCTTAGGTTAGTTTCTCCACTTTCAAACGTTGATCTATTTTAATCAAAGTTTAAAGATGATTTAATAGACTAAATACAGAGTTTGAAAATAGATTTAGATTAATGTCAAGCAAAATTTAAGAGGAAAAAGAAAGCTTTTTTTAATATAATAGGTGGGGTGAGAATTTGAACTTTAACTTTTTGATCAAAGTAAGTGTATGAACCAGTTAAGTTATGTTCATCTCCACAAGAGAAAAATAGTTAAACTTACGTTTTTACAAACAGTTTCAAAATCATGCATACTTACATTTTTATAAAAATTTAAAATAAATATTTCTAAAACCTAGCTAAAATTTCCATTAAAATTTCCAAGCGCAGAATTAAAATTTCAAAAATATTAAAGGTAAAATTAAAATTGAAAACACAAATTATGAGAAAAATTGAAGTACACCATACTCATTTTTGTTGACCACCCTTAAAATTTTTACAGATAGGAGAGAAATGTAAAAAAGATTTTTTTTTTCTAAAAGACTAAATAGATGTCAAATTTTTATTGATTAGTGGTTAGCAAAAATATGAGTAGTCAGTACTGAGGAGTAAGTGCCCTAGTATATTGTTCTGAACAAAATACCTTATAAACATAAAATTTCAATTCTATCCCTCTTTTTACTATTGTTAAATATTAAACGACCGAAAATTAGAAAACAATGAAAAATATAGAGCTTTTGCCTATTTGAAAATATAACATTCCAATCGACGGAGGAGAAGTTAACTTTCAAGTTGAGCAGAATTCAGGTTCAGACTCATAAAGATAAATAAAACTGAAACGACACGTCTAAATTAGGGCATTTTTTTTAAATTTAGTCTTTCAATCCATGAGTACTCTCTATAGAATATAATGAAGTTTTCGTGATAGGGATTAGTGAGTGAAGCTCAAGTGGATTCCTTCAACTTGCCAATATACATCACTTGCCCATCAGAGATGAGACAATTGGTAGAAGAAAATGGGGAATTTAGCATTGAAAGAATGGAGCTAACAGATCCAACCACATGGGTAAAGGGTAACATTGATACTCAAGAGTGGGTGAGCCATGTAAGGGCAGCCATGGAAGGCATCTTCACCAAACACTTTGGAGACAACCTTAATATCATCGACCAAATGTTTCAAAGAGTCATCAAAAAGCTTGAACACCATCGTGAGGACATCAACTCTAAGCTCCATGAAAAAGTTCAACTCTTTGTTGTTTTGAAACGCAAATAAAAGTAGTACTCATGCACACACTTTAAAGTTCTCTCCCCTTAGCATTTTGAGTGTAATTTTAATTTGTGAGCCACCTTAATCATCTACATTATCATTAATCGACTATCGTTTTTTTTTCTGAATCGAGTCTTTCAAGAAATTATATCAACTGGATTGGTACGTACTATTGACTATGCCGTTTTTGGTGACTTTTTCGTACATGTCCTTGGAAAAAAGAGATACATGTTCGGACCAGTCCCTTTTTTACTTTACATTTGGTTGTCAAGGAAACACTTAGGAAAGTGATTTCTAGGTAGGTGACAATTATGAGATTGAACTCATTTCCTTTAAAACCTTTTGATTTACCTTGGCCCCTTTGTGTTGGGATTGGTGGAGCCAAAACGACGTTGGATCGAGCTAGGGAATAGTTGAGATCAAGTCGGGACGTGTCGGAGTCGAAGCGGGGATGAAAAACAGAGAAGCGAGACGCTGCAGGCCACTTGGGCCAAGAAGACAACGCCGCGACACCGCTGCAGGACGCCATGGCGCTGCAGCACTGCGGCGCTAGGAGACAGCACCTCGGCGCTGTCCTAGTTGGTGCGCGGGCGTAGTTTTCCGTCCGTAGCGCCATAGCGCTGTTTCAGTGCCTATATAAATACAGTTTCGGGTTTAGGGTTTCTCAGCCGAAAAAGGGGTTTTGTCCAGTCGATTTTGTGTCCTTTTTCAGAGGGTTTCGTGGCAGTTTCAAGGGGAAGGCTCGGGCATTGGCAAAGGCATTGAGGCTCATCAAGATCAACACTTTCGGGGTAATTAGATCTTGATTATTGTGAGTTTTTCATTCATGTTCCTAAGTATTAATTGTATAAAATACTTAAAAGCTATGAGGCTTTTGTTGAGACCTCTAGGGATATTTTGAGGAGTGTTATTGTATCTAATACTAAATTATATTAGTGAATTACCCACATCTGAGTGGAAGACTGGACGTAGCCCTTAGTGGTGAACCAGTATAAATCGCTGTGCCGTATTCTTGTTCTTTACTGTTTTCTTCATATTTGCATATTTGTAATTGTGTTGGATATTTTATGTGGAAGGGGAAATTATTGAGGTCAAGCAATTTCCCAACACTTTAGACTAATGAGCCAACCTATAATGGTTTCATTTTTATACCAAGAGGAAATTCAAAGTCAACATTTGTGCAATTTTTATGCTTAAAAAAAGAGTTTGACCTATTTTGCTTTTAAAAGTTCTTATTTTGTCCTATATACTATTCATGTCTATTTTGAATGCTTAGCAAGTATTTGATACGTGCCTCACAAGAGTTAGTTCTATATTCACTTTGTACAACTAGTATGTGACACACATCTATTAAGCTAACAAGTGTATGATACGTGTCTAATAAGGTGTCCGAATATCGGAGTGGCCGACACAGCCCGTCACCCAATCTAAGAATTTATAAGTTGGGTTGCATAAAGCAGGAAATTTTAAACCCAAAAGCTTAAGTCGATAAGTGATGGTAAATTTAATCTTTTTATCAATATATAAAATTTTACACAAAGTCTAACAAGTTATTATCAATATTAATTGGGAGAAAATGACATTAAAATAATATCATGTTAAATCACCGTTGAAACTCAAAAGCTTAGTTGATGGGTTATACAGTGATTTTAGTCTTCTATCAAACATTATTTATGGTTATGTTTTTAGCTTTAGAGTTCCTTTTAAGTAAGCTTAGAAATTTGTATACAAGATGACCCAATAAGTGGATTATTAATACTAATTGAAGAGAAAAATGGCATTGCAAAAGTTGAAACCTATAACTTTTCCCTTTTATGACTATATTAAATGACTACTAAAACTAAGATAGAATTATATTTAATAAATGGGGAGAGATTCAAATTCATGACCTCTATCAAACAAGTGTTAATTACCGTTGAGTTAAACTCATGTTGGCATATATTTAATTTTTTTTATATTCTCCTAACACAAATTTTGGAAATATTTAAAATTGGCTTTAAATACAACATATGTAAATAACCACAATTATTACATAAATATAGCAGTTTAAAAACGTAATTAGAAATTTAATAAAAAAAAACATTCAGACCTGATAACCATTTTAGTTTTTGGTTTGTGTTGTTTTTAGTTTTTGATCTTTGGTTTTCTGTTTTTCTGTTTTTAAAAAACAAAAACCATATATGTTTGCTAACTATTTTTTGTTTTTGTTTTTTTTAAAAAGAGAAAACAAAAACATATTTGGTAACTATTTTTAGTTTTTTGTTTTTAAAAAGTTAGAAAATTGAAAACACATATTAAAGAGACAAAATTTTATATAGAGTACAGATGATAATGGTGTGAGTGCGAGTGAGAATGCTCTCCCCCATTGTCGTGCTCATGAAAATTTTTAGTCTCTGTCTCCCACCTCGTTCTTGGGTCCGAGAGACGTTCTCGAGAAAAATTATCGGTTTTATAATTGTTTTTAATTATTTTTAGAATTTAAGTATAAAAAAAGTGTAATAAATATATATTAATTATTTCAAAAATGGATCAGGGTCGAGACATGCATTTCCTATTTTTGGGACCCAATGCAGAAATTTTTGTCTTCCCCCAATGTAGAGACATGAAAATACAAGTTTAGAGAGATGTAAATAAACTTTTGAAAAATAAATTTTAGAAAAATAAATAAAAAGATTTAGAAAAAAATTAGTGAAAGAAAAGTTAAAGACGAAAAGAGAAAAATTTTAGAAAAAAATAAAAATAAAGTCGAGAGGAAAAGATATGTTAAACAAAAAAAAAATATAAAGAAAGAGAAAAATTACAGTGGAAACAAATTTAGAGATAAAAACAAGATTCAAAATATAATTTTTAGAAAAAATAAATAAATACAAAGATAAATAAAAGTTACCGTGAAAAAAATTACACCAAAAAATAAAATATAATTTTCAGAAGAAAAAATAGATTATAGGAGAAAGAAAAATGATAAAAGATGAAGTTTTAGAGAGAAAAAATTTAGGAAAAATATTAAATTTTTAGAGGGAGGAATGRAACTGGTATGTTAGAAAAAAAAAACAAAAATATAGACAAATTTGGAGAGAGACAAATAATAATAAATATTCAAAATATGAAAATTTTAGAGAGAAAAAAATAAAGTTTGTATAGAAAAATTTAGAAATAAAACAGTTTTAGAGTGAGAAATAATTTTTTTAGAAATAAAAATGAGAGAAAAAAAAGTTGTGTATGAGAAGAAAAAAAATAAGATTTTGCAAAACAAAAACTTTTTTTTCTTTTGAAATTTACATAAAATTTGAAATGGTTTTTGAAAAATTAAAAACAAAAAACAAAATGATTATCAAACGGACATGTATTCATGAGATTACATCTCAAATATAATTAACAGTGAAGAGTAGCACATTTAAATTACAAATTGTAATTAGATCCATTATCTTATGAACTTGCGATCGCTATTGCACATGTCACTTTATTTTGTCTTTAATAATTACCTCAACATTTCATTCTTCCATGGATTTATTTCATCGATCTAGGATCATATAATCAATCATCAATGTTTTAGGGACTTAAATCTATCATTTATCTTAGGTAGGTTGAAGGTTGTATAAGGTAGTCCTGGAATAATCTCTATTATTATTATTAGTTTAATAACATGTGGGGTAGAGATTCGAATATCCGATTTTTTTTATTATGATATATGATTTAATTAGTTGAGTTATACTCAAAATTTCCATCTCTTTTAATTTATTATTGTTATTAGTATATATATTTACGACTAAATTTATCCCTAACAATCCATTTACTTTAAGTTTTTGGAGTCATTAACAATTTAATTATATTTAAGATGTATTATATAAATGATTTAACAAACCTTATTTTACCCTATTTTCTATATAGAAGAACAATCATATAAAAAATTGGGTAAATTATATAAAACCGCAAATATAAATAATACAACAGGTAAAGAATACTAAAGAAAAGGGAAATGGAAAACATAGTTTTTTTCTTTTTTTTTTTTTTTAATTTTGAGGGACAAACATAGCTGGATTAAAATAACACCTCTTGGAAATTGCTTTTTCCATTAAAAGAATAAGTGAAGCCAACGTTATGAAATCCATTTTACCTTATTTCTCGTCCAAAAGTAATTTAAAAATATTCTTTGGAATGCTAAAAATAAAATTGTGACATGTGATATTTTAACATTCGTGAAAAAGTAATGTAGGTTTTTCTTTTTGTTTTTCTTTTTTTAAAAAATCCCATTAAATCACTTATTCATTTTTACTGTATAATCATCACAATAATGTGATTTACATAATCTATTGACCTATATATTAATTAACTATAATTCCTATATGATAATCATCGATTTTACCGATGGACCGTATGTTATTATACTTTTGATCCGAGTGATTTCTTTTTAAGAAAATAGATGGAGAAAAACATGCTTATAAAACTAGCTAATTGAGATGTACATTTGAGATCCATCAAACTACTACATGTAAAAAAAAAAAGTCAATTAGAGCACATAAAATATTCATTAAAACTATATATTAGTTTAAAACCAAGAAGAAAATTAAAAAGAAAAGTATTGGAAGAATTGGAGTGTAGAATTAATTGAATGATGAAGGTGCAACCCTCATGCCCAATCTTGATGCAGTTGAAGGAGACAAAAACCAAATCTCAATTAATTATTCAAATTAAAATCCAAACTACAAAATTATAACCATAGCTAGAATATATTATTATATTGCAAAAAGGGTGCTGTTTCCAAAATTCCTCTCTCTGTCATTTGTTGTAATAATATAATTTCAAAAGTACTTTTGATTGGCAAAAAGATTGAACAGTAACATGCATGTTCTCTTCAGTATTTAAATCCAAAGAAAGTCTCAAAGCTTCCCCTTTTTCCCCCCACCAGCTGACCCAACATCTAACATCATCATCATTTGCTTACCCCTCTAACAACTAAAAGATTTTAGAGTATATATACACACATGCATTTTCTTTTGACACTAAAAGAGAGGAGAGAGAACAATGAGGAATATTAGTAGATTCATCCTCGTCAGGAATAGATCACCATAGCCTATAAGCAATGACACATAATTGTCTCTTGAA